TATAAACACCTAGTTAGAGTGATTGATCTAGTGGTTACTGTTATAAACACCTGGTTAGAGTGATTGATCTAGTGGTTACTGTTATAAACACTTGGTTAGAGTGATTGATCTAGTGGTTACTGTTATAAACACCTGGTTAGAGTGATTGATCTAGTGGTTACTGTTATAAACACCTGGTTAGAGTAATTGATCTAGTGGTTACTGTTATAAACACCTGGTTCAAGTGATTGATCTAGTGGTTACTGTTATAAACACCTGGTTCAAGTGATTCATCTAGTGGTTACTGTTATAAACACCTGGTTAGAGTGATTGATCTAGTGCCTTCCACAATTTTAGCCATTTAGCAGTTGAGTTTAGTTTCTGGATATTATTTTTTAATTATTGTAGTCATTTATGTTATCTTGTGATTCATTACAAGAATTACCTGAGGTATTCTAAAAGTGGTCCTTTATTAAGAGTACACTAATATTTTGTGTTTTGTTACATTATAATTCACTTTACATTTAGCACACATTCACTGCACATCAGGTAATCTGACTTTCTGTTAATATTTATATTCTAACATCAACTTTGCTTCTTAACATAATCACTGATCTAGAAAATTAGTGTTTCTGTTCTCATTCTTTTAGTTCATTTCCGTTGTTATCAGAGTGAAGCATAAACATGACTCATTAGTTTATTAATAGTAGTGATGAGTCATGTGGAGACTAGTGTTTCAGGAAAAAGATACATAAACTGGTGACTTACTTTCCTTAGGCCACATGGAATCAGAATTAAAGTTAGAATTATTTTATCCCCTGGTTGATCTTTTGCTCCTAAAATAATCAGTTGATCACAAGCTACATTTGGATAGTGCTTATTTTGAGAAATAGAATGTTTGTTTTAATTAAAATTTAAAGCTAACAGTGTAATGACAACCCTATTTTTCTGAATATTTTTTGTACACTACAATTTCACTGAAACTATATTCTAAGACTTTATTTAAAGTAGTATTGTGCAAAGTTCTTATCCTGTGAAATGAAAGTAAACAAGAATTCCACCCTACTAGGTGAAGTAACTAACTTAGTGATCTTTAAACCAGTCTGATATAACATTCTCACTGAACTTCTGTAAAGTTTATTTACTTCACATTTTACAATGTACCCTATGCTTCATTACATTACAAGGCTAACATGTAATGAACAATATTGTGTGGACTTCCAGAATTTAAAGATCTTATGGAAACAAGAACATTATAATTGGAATTTTTTTTGTAGCATACCAGTATTTATCTAGCCCAATAAGAGTTGCCAATAAAAACAGTAGTATGTTTATTTGTATGTACATATTTTTAGTCTACTAGAAAGGCTCTGTTCACAATTACTTTAGTTGAAGTGTGGTGATATGCAAGCGCAGATGGCACCTAAAATTTACCCCTTCTAAGGAAGTTACATTACCCAACTTCCCAACATGAAATTATTCTATTAAACAATTATCAAAATATACAAGGTAATAAATACTAGTGTTTGAAAAACAGGGATGTCTGTTGTATTTAATTGTATTGATAAAACAAGGGAAGGTTTAAATCCAGCAATGAAATAACTGGATACTCCAGTTGTTTCATGACAAAAATTAACCCATTAAACCTTTTCATACAAGTCACTGAGTTACATTCAAAATTTAATTAAGCAACTTTACTATCAATGTATGTCAATGAAATTAACATTATAATGTAAGTTATAATTTGAAGTTTTATGTTACCTAAGTTTTAATTCCTTTGTTTCAAAGGAAATCTTTAATAAAATAGAAACTTCAGTTCTGTTGCCACAATCTATAAAAAATCTCAACTTTCACACACTCAGTCTTGAATAAAATAACTACAGTCTGGTAGATGCAAGTCTAGACAATAAGTACATTTACTTGCCCTATTTACACATATGTTCCAAAGTTATTTGGCTGAGTTTTGTTGAAACTATAGATAAATTTTTCTGACAGGTGCCACACTCACCTTCTATACTATTCCTTGAGCTTTACAAATCACATGTTGTTACTTGACACTCATGTATATAGTCATTAGAAAGAGCTTATTTTACACTATAATCTAACATCAGTTGTCATCGTTGGGTAAATGCAAGTGCGATAGTATTCTTGGCTGCTTTGTCCATGGTTGTTTCTTACCTAAATATGTTATAGTCAGGGACAGTTAACTTGAATTATTTTTACTTTTATATGTTAGTTAATTATATATTATTTATGTTTTAAAATGCATATTTGAAACGTTTAAGTACTTTTTAAATTTATCCCAAACATTGCCCCTGTTCTTAAAGCTTATGATCTTGTGCAAGTGTAAGATAATTTTGCAGAAGCATGCATATCTCTCTAAAAAATGCTGTAATATGCCCCGAGGGCATCAATGACTTGTGTTGAGATAAATAATAAATAGGAAAGTAAAATAAAAACATTAATGATTAAGAATATGTGAAAAAGTAAAGACCTCGATTCACAAATATTACCAAAAGAAGATCCAAAATATTCTATGAAAAATTAAAAGGTATGTATATTTTTCTATTTCTTAATTTTCAACATTTCATTACATTGTATGTTGATGATATCTACAGTTAGTGATATGGTAGAGAAAATGAAATTTAAACATTTACCTTAAAAAAACTTGATATTCATTTAGGAGGTTCAAGACGTTATGTAAATAAAACTCAAACTTTAAAATGAAAATCACATTGCACCCTAACTATTCAGTATCTGAGTGCAAATAACTACAATAAATAAACATGTTTTTAGTAGAAACAATTAAAATAATGTCATTCTTTGTGTATAAGATACTCATAACCTTTAACAAGTTTTTGTGAAGATAAGTTAAGAAATCTCAGAGTTCTAGTATGTATTGTTGAACATGTGAAATTCCCATACAGCCCACCAAAAATTGCAAGTGCCTGTAATGAAAGAGTTAAACAGCTTGCCATGGAACATTTGTCCTTAAATCAGTCAACATTAAGAACATGACTAGATTGTTGAGAACCTAGTGTAATTGGAATAAGACTAATAAAAACATGACAGTATTAGTAACTTGGTGACTGTGGTTCAAATATCTTATCCAACATGTAGTAACTGTAATTGTTCATTGCAGACTCCAGAAGAGGGGGCAGAAACCATTCTATATGCTGCCCTATCCCCAGAGATGGAAGGTATTGGAGGAAAGTTCTTAGAAGAGTGTGCTATATCAGAATCAAGCAAAACATCTCGGAATAAAGAACACCAAGAAAAACTGTGGGAAGTTACTTGGAAACTCTTGAAACCATGGTGTCCTCAAAGTCCAGCATTACAAAAATGATCAGAAAACACTGATATTTGATAGGAGTTGTTTAAACTTTATTTTCTATGTGTTGTTAGGGTTAGAGACCAGTTAAAGGGTGCTGGTGAAATTCACATAAAACTATTTTTAAGGTTGAGTATGATGAACATGTTTTTTTATTATCAAATTCTGGGTTGGTTTTATAAATCTTTCATAATAACAAAAAACATTTGCACTTATTAATTTTTGTAAAATTTTTCTGTTCATGCTAGAGCACTGGTTTATTTTTGCTAAGAAACTATCATACCTTTAGAAATATTTATTTCATTCCTGAAAATGTCCGTGTGTGAAATTTTCTTCTATAGTTAGGTTTAGTGAGTATGGTAGGTAATGGCAAAATATTATTTACTGAATATTATTGTTAAGTTAATCTTTAGTAAGAATGTTGTTATCTAGCATAACAAAGATAATTTATATCTGGAAGTGACAACTACTTAAATTAGCCAAAGAAATATCAAGTTGAAACTGACTTGATAACTTAAAATGGAGTTTTTTTGACCAACAGTAAAGCAGTTTGAAGTTGTAAGATGAAGATCTTTTAATCAACATAAAAAACAAATGAAACTATATACTTCAGTAATTTTTTTAGTATGTTTTGTGCAATTAGATTTAGTATTTCCACTGAGAGACGGAAAAACATCAGGGTGTACTGGTGACATCTTGCCTGTGCGGGAAGGGTTAAAATCTGATTAGATGTCAAGGTGTGGGTGAAACACAAATGACTAAGCATATTTTACAATCAAAATTGATTCAACCAGTTTTTGTCTGATTACAGCAGGGCTTTGTAACAAGACCTTTGGGAGTAATTCTTGTGAATTTGGTATACAAACAGATTCTTTACTTTACAAAATAAAACTACTACTTTGTTTATGGAGAAACCTTGACCTTAAGACTCCTTAGAGCTGTGCAGAAATGTTTTTGTTTTTTTTAATATCATTAAATTATTATTTTCACTAGTTCTGATAGGATGAAGCTTACTGAATGTTTCACATGAAAAGTCAATAATACTGTAAAAATAAAATTCCATTCATACAAGTCTCTAGGTAATTTGATTTTAATATCATATTCTTACAATAAACGTTACATTTGTGATATGTAAATTTTTATAAAAAAAACAAAACATGGTAATCACAAGGAATTTATATGTTGTACAGGTTTTTCACTTTTGTAATAAACTTGTATTATTACTGTAACCACCAGTGTGCTGCTTCATTCTGAGATAATACCCACACAGTCTAGGTTCAATTAGACAAAAGTACTCACAAGACTCCACTCTTGTTAATGAAACATCTGTAGAATACAAGGAGAAATAGTTATTGATAATACTACAAAACAACATACTTAGTTTGAAAAAGGTAAACTTTGTAATTCCAAGTATATGGAGCATAGTACAAACTTAATAACCATTTATATATGTATATCTTGTCTCAGCATATCGTTAACTATTAGAGTTACAACTGTATTTTAAAATAAATTAATTATGAAGGAATCTGTATATATAATACTTACAGGTGAGTCTTGGTCAAAGTTCATGTCATCAGCATCTGGTTCCTCGTCATCATCTTCATTACTTTCACTTTCATCATCATCATTATCATCATCCTCTTCGTCATCTTCTTCATCAAAATGCTGACATTAAGAAATTTGATAAGAAAAAACTGTATACCTTGTTAACACAGTCAGCAGGTTTACTTTTCACTATTTTTTTTATAAGTAAGTACAATTATTTAAAGGCTGTAAAATAAATGCTATAAAATTCAAGTAACTGTCTAATAATACCACAAAAAATATTTACATTAAAGCTATATTCAATTAAAATTAGAGGTTTTATGATTTTTGCTAACAAAACATCTTTTTACCCTATATTTCTTTTATAATTGAAGTAAATAAAATTTCACAGACTATTAACTGTTCATCAACATTACAGTAATGAAATTCCAATGTAAATAACGTGACACTAATTAGATGATTTGGTTTAGAGTCATTCTGTGTAAATACTGACACTAATTATGAACAATTAAATTTTTCAAAGATATAAAAAAAAAAGCCCAATACTAGCAAGCCATTGTTTTAAGTTGAATTATACCCCATATAATATTAGGAAAAAAAAAGTTCAATTGAAAAGTCACATTTAATACTAGAAATTGAGGTTCTAAATAAATTCAAATACTGCATATAATGCCAGAATTTCAATCTTCTTACATGTAAAATATTGACCAAGATATTTTAAGAAACACCAAATAACTGTAGAGAAAGGCAGTTTACATTTAGTTAAGACAGGATATTCAAATACATAATCAAAAAGTCAGACTTAAATTTAAACATAAGTTTTTATGTAGAGTACATTTTAAATATTCAAACGAATTATGAACAAGATCATTTATCACCTGAAATTATACAAAACAAATCACAGCTAGTTTAATAAAACTAGAATTTTAAGTGTTAGTGAATCTATCCAAAAACTTGGTGACACCAGCTGACAAGTATTGCCCAGAAGGATAATGATGTAATACCAATAGGAAAAACAGCATCTGAGGTTAGTCAGTTAAATGTTGTCCTCTTAAACTGTGAACATTAATCCAAGTTTTTTATCTTTTCATTCCAAAGTGTTTGATATTTCATCTTGCACGATGTTGCTGTTTTCCAGAATCAGAATTCTGACTACACTGTAAAACTCTTCCTACATAATGTTTTCCAGCATTGGGTTGATTCTGTGTTACTTCTCCTTAGTGGGCAGAGGAGATTATTAGTGGACATTGTAATGCATTTGGCAGTTGGAGAACTCCAGTCTAGTGGGAAAAGAGTTTCTGTTTCTTTAATGAATATTATCAGGAGCTCAAGTGTATTTTTCTGGTTGTCTTCACATGTTTATTTTTAGTACAGGAACATCTCTTTTGAATTAGAATTAATGTTTAACTATAAAAGTATTACAAGATAGGTTGGAAGGATAGGAGAAGCATTGTATAACATTGCATCAAAGACTGTTAACTGTGATGCTGACAAGTTACAAAAGCAGAGTGTATAATATCCAATTTTTTAATTATTCATTACCAGCTGACAATAGGTAGGTTGAAGATCAAAGTGTTTGATATTAAAGTTATCTGTTCATTACCAGCTCACTGTAGGTAGTTTCAAAATCAATGTGTTTGATATCAACGTTTTTATCTTTTCATTACCAGCTGACACTAAGTAGTTTCAAGAAAATGTCTAAGTAGAGACTGGCTATAATATCTACTAATACCAAGTCAAAAAGGAATACTCCCAATCAGCATTATAAGGAAACCATAAATATATGGTAATAAAAATCATAGTGTGCAATACTCTTTAAACAAAAACCTAACGTCTACATTTCCAGTGATCTTCTCCTGACACTCACTATTTTCCAACTATCCATAAAATTACAAAAATATCTCCATAACACCTGCTCCTACCAATCCATGTTAAAGCCTTAAGATAAAACTCCTGAAATTAATTAAATTGAAGAGCAAGAATTAAAGTAAAATGAAAGAAAACAAAAATATAAATAAAGTTTTTGCAAAATCTTGCATATAAAGATAAAAATCTTTCAGTGCAACTTAGTAATTTTTCTTTACATGATAATTTAAACTGCACACATATAAATACTTACCCAGCTCTGATGTTCCTTTTCAAGTTGTGTTAATTCAGTTTCATCATCACAAGGCCTATCGACACTGAACCAGTGGGGGTCTCCCACACGGGGCACTAACGATGGAAAAGATGGGTTTGCCATAGGAAAAATTTCTTAACTTCTTTTTTTCTGTATGATTCAGTTTATAAAAAAAATCATTAAAAAAAAGGAAAATGTACAAACAAGGTTCTCCTAACTTCTGGAACTATTAAAATTTCAATTGATTTTTTATATGAATTAAATAAATGAATGGGTCATGTCAGTGTTATGCTGAATGAATTCTACAATCTCCAGTTAGTATTACATGCTACCTATTAACAGTTTTACCTATTGTGACAATCATCTACTGTAACATATTGACTAGATTGTCAATAATAGCATCAAACAACTCAATAGAGAGACATTAGGTAATCATGGAATTTATGAAGAGGAGTTACACAGAATAGTTCATAAACACTGGACGAGTGACATTCACACGCTTTACAGTTAATCTGATTAGGCACCAGTATATTAAATTTAACACAGTTCTGCCTGTACAAATAACACTAACATAAAACTCATGATCTGAATCAACAGCTAAGTATTTATATACTGCAGAGCAGCATACATTGGTGTCACGTGTTTACAATAATTAACATGGCTGTACTTCATAAACCAATCAACATCATGTGACTGTTGAATTACATGAAACACTGTAGTTGAAGCTTAGCCAAGATGAAGTAAGTATGAACCTTGTCAGTTATTGTAAGTTATAATGAAATAAATGTAAGAATTAAAACATT